GTTTTTTAATCAAGGTTCTAAAGCTCGGGAGTGTCCATAACCCTAGCACTTATAAGTTAAATAATGTAGAACTTAACCATACAGATTGCGAAAAGGACTTGGGGGTTAGGGTAAGCAGCAACCTTAAACCAAGACAGCAATGCCTAAGCGTACGTAATAGGCAAATAGATTACTGGGATTTATATTCAAGAAGTGTAAGCAACAGAAGTCCAGAGGTCATACTGCAGCTTTATACATCATTAGTAAGGCCTCACCTAGATTATGCAGCTCAATCTGGTCTCCATATTACAGAATGGACAAAAATTTCGTTAGAAAACATTCAGCGTAGGATGACTAAATTAATACATAGCATTAGAAATTTTCCTTATGAAGAAAGATTGAAGACTCTTAATTACATTTCATTTGTTAGACGAAGAATGAGGGGAGACCTGATCGAAGTGAAATAAATGGAAGATAGGTGTTAATAAAGGGGATATTAACAAGGTCTTGAGGATTATCTCTCCAAGAGAAAACCCCGCAGTAATGGATTTAAATTAGATAAGTTTAGATTTAGAAAGGACATAGGCAAGTATTGGTTTGGAAATAGGGTAGTTGATGAGTGGAACATCTACTAGTTGGGTTTTTTGAGGCTAGGACTTTGGGTAGTTTCAAATTTAGGTTGGATAAGTACATGAGTGGGAGGGGTTGGATTTGAGTGGGACTTGCACATCAGAGCTTATTTCTTGGGTAGCATTGAAAATTGGGTGGGTCAAATGTTTGTTAGTGGGATGAATTGTAAAGGACCTGCCTAGTATGGGTCAACAGGCCTGCTGCAGTGTTCCTCCTTTCTTATGTTCTTATGTTCTTATGACTGAAGAAGCCTACTGTGTAGGCGAAACGTTTCGAAATAAAGATACCTAACTGTTGCATATGTGTCTTACCTAACAATCTGTCGGTATTTTATACCATTTTAATGTTCAGTCCATACAAAGGAGAATCTTGAAGAACAGAAGGAGAATGAGGTAATCAGTCCCTTAACCTTGAGTCGATGTGGTCAGTCCATCAATCTTGAATAGAATACGGCAACGTGCTGAGAAGGAGCTTATAAACCGTTGGCAGGGGAGGTGCAAAGTCATAGGTCGTGTAACATTTGTTCAATTTTAAGTAGGTCGTGCCCAAGAATTAGGCAAGCGAAGGAATTTCCCCAAAATTAAGATCCCAAGAAGTTGCAGTGTCTGACAGGTTTGTAGAGAATGGTTCAGAGAACCTTCATGTTGATAAATTAGACACATGTGCAACCTTGGGTATCTTTTTCGAGGAAACGTTTCGCCACACAGTGGGCTTCATCAGTCCATAACAAAGGAGAATCTTGAAGAACAGGAGGAGAATTTAGGTAAACAGTCCCCAACCTTGGAGTCGAAAGTGGTCAGTCCATTAATCTTGAATAGAATACGGCATACGTGCTGAGAAGGAGCTTATAAACCCTTGGCAGAGAGGTGCAGAAGTCATAGGTTTAAAAAGCTCCTTCTCAGCACGTATGCCGTATTCTATTTAAGATTGATGGACTGACCCCATCGACTCAAGGTTGAGGGACTGATTACCTCATTCTCCTCCGTTCTTCAAGATTCACCTTTGTATGGAACTGATGAAGCCACGTGTGGCGAAACGTTTTCCTCAATAAAAAAATACCCAAAGTTGCACATGTGTCTAATTTATGTCCATGTAAATTTTTTGTGGAAATAAATGGTATAAAATACCGACACAATGGAAATATCAACACATGCAGTATAATGTGATCCTTTATTGACTACTTTCGCCCACCAGTGGGCTTTTTCAAGTCACAAACAGATCTGTTTATGACTTGAAAAGCCCACTGTGTGGGCGAAACGTAGTCAATAAAGGATCACATTATACTGCATATGAGTTTGTATTTCCATGTATTGTTTGTAATGGCTTGATAAGCTCCTGGAAGCGAAACGTTGCCACAATAAAATGTCACATTAGTTGCACTTGTGTCCTTTTACTTTACATATTGTCGGTAATTCTACCAACTTTATTACATACAGTCCATACATGCTTCTCCTGTGTATGGACTGATGAAGCCACTGTGTGGCGAAAACGTTTCCTTAATAAAGATACCCAAGAGTTGCACATGTGTCTAATTCATCATCTCTCTGGTGCTGTGCAAAGAAAGGTAATAAAATACCGACAATATGAAAGTTAAGACACATGTGCAAACATCTGGATATCTTTATTGTAGTAGACGTTTCGCCATCCAGTGGCTTTATCAATACAGATCTAGGACATAATAGGAAGACAGTAGAACTATATACAAAAGATGAGGTAATCAGTCAGACTCTCCAGACTCTCCTCCACCACGATGCTGTGAACACTAACTCCAAGGCCGAGGGACTGATTACCTCATCTTTTGTATATAGTTCTACTGTCTTCCTATTATGTCCTAGAATCTGTATTGATAAAGCCACTGGATGGCGAAACGTCTACTACAATAAAGATACCCAGATGTTGCACATGTGTCTTAACTTTCATCTCTCTGGTGCTGGAGAGTTCATTCACTCACGAGTAAA